TGTGGGGAGGTCTAGAAAAATCTTTTATTCAAAAATATTTCATTGAAATTCCTTTCAAAACACCTAACAGACTCGCTATTACCCTTGAAGAAAAGGTATCAGTACAAATACTTGATGGTGGAATAGCCAATTAAGTCCCATCCACACATTAACATCTTAAGGATAAATAATTATTAATTTCAGATTGCTTGGGGTGACCAATAGAACTAAGGATGGAGTCAGTGAGAATGGAGTCAGAAAAGACCTGTAGCCAAAATCCAAAACCAGATAGGGCTCAAACTATTCCCTCATTCTGTAAGTGAGGAAACAGTCCCAATGTGGTTAACAGACTTTTCAAGTACAGCTGAGACCTACCATCATCTACCCTGACCTCACCAGGTTCTCTGTGGTGTTTTCTGTTAACTGGAACTGAGGCCAGAAGCCCCAGAAGCACTAGGAAGGCCCTGATTCACTGTGAAATGTTCTGGAAAAGTCATCCTAGAGACAAGAGAAGGGACACAGGATGACAGACAACAGTATGAGTTAGTCCTTCTCTTTCCTAACCAAGTAGACATCTAGCATCTTCTGCTTCCACTCATGCTGGGATTCCCTTCTTGGTGAACAAGTGTGGTAACCTCAGATTTATAGAAGGTGTGGATTTCCATCCATCTCTGTTCCTTTGATTATCAAAAGCAGATTTGATCCACATGGTAGCTGGTAAGCACAACATAAATTCAAATTAATAAGATTAAATCAACCTAAAATTCTGTCACTTGCACATGCAAGTCATATTTCAAATGCTGAAGAGCAGTGTGAAAAGTATAGATATCTCCATTAGTGCAGAAAGTTGTACTGGGAAGTGCTGCTCCAAAGCAAAGGGTCATGTGGATCTTTTCTGGTACACTGAAGTTCCAAAAGGATAAAAAATTAGAGTAGCAGAAGGGAAACAATTTGGCCTTTTCAATTCCTTTTACCAAAAATTCCAGGGATGTTTGAATGAATTTTGCACATTTTGCTGCTGCTTTTGTTGTTTTTCCATGTATAAATTTCCCTCCTCCCAGATCTAGTGTCTATTTCCGAAGAAGACAGTTTGGAGTGAAAGAGATTTCAATAGTTTTTGAAAATCTGTAATGATTCTGGAAACCTACCAAAGTTGATGTCAAAAAGAAATTACTAGGCAGTGTTGAAGTATGTTGAAAAACATTGTTGATTATTTTCAAGGAGGGAAAAAAACCCTGTTGACCAGAACCTGGACTTCATGTCAAACAAGAGAGGAGAAAAAAAAAAAAAAAAACAGAGGACCTATTACATTTTAACTGAAGCTTTTCTTCCAAGACAGATGTAGCTAAACATTAACAAAGGCAGTGTGGTAAATTACAGATTACGACGCAATTATGTCTCCTATCTCCCCCTTTCAGGGTGAGAGCTTGTCGATATTAGGGCTCAGATAAGAGAAGCACCATGTGACATGTGACAGGCAGTATCTATTGGGGAAGCATGAAACTTCTGGAGCTTTTAGATGCTGCATTCCCAGGAGGCAAGACCCCAATGTCGGTCTTGCTTCCATACCTCCTGCATAGTCATGCATCCATGAACACTTAGCAAGTACAATGTTCTGAACACAGATGGAAAGCCAGATCTAAAACAAGCCTCTAGTAGCTACCAGGGTTGGTGAGGAAAGGGCTGGATCCAGCTCCATAAATCCTGAAAACCTGCTCTTTGAACATGTCCCTGCAAACCTCCCACCCCCATGAGGTGAGCTGTTAGGTGTTTTCAAGCAGGTTCCATGCTGCTGCTACTAAAAGTCACAAGGTAAAGCTAGAAATCCCACCACGGGGACATTTTCAGGGATACGTCCTTGTAGTTTCTCTCAGAAACTTAAAACATCTATCCCATATCTGAAAAGTGGCCAGAGAGGATATGTGAGAAATGCTTGTCCAAATGTCTTTCAACAGAAGAGCATATATTAAGTCTGTGTGTAAATATAAACATATCAGAATTATTATGCAAAAACCTGACCTATGGGCCTTTGCATCAGCATCACATAAATATATGCTAAAAATACAGATTCCCAGGCATCACTCCAGACCTAAGGAATCTAAGCTATAGGAGAAAGTTCAAGGATCTGAATTTTTAGCACTTGCCCTAGGTGATTCTGATACACCTCCAGGTTTGGGAATGTCTAGCTGGGAACACCCAACTTTCCACTAGGGTGTAGCAAGATGACAGCGTTCTCTTAGCATCATTTACAAATCTGTTTTATGTTCCCCCACATCCCTTTCCGTCAAAGGAATGGAATGTAGGATGGGATTATCTATTATTATTTCACAATTAAGGATAATAACATGAAACATTCTAGGTGAGTGAGTGATGTCACTAGCAATACCAGCATCACTAGTTTAGCTGTTTTCTAGCCAGTCCAGTGTTTCTGTTCAAACCTATTTTTTCCAGTGCAAATACTGGCCTACTAGTAGGGAGGCTTCCTATGGGTCACAGATAAGCAGACTCATGCAGTATGAAAAAGTATAGCACCCAGCTCTTCATCACCTTGCCTCTGGTCAAAACCAAACCAACTGCAGCCAAACCCCTGGGATTCCAGTCTAGACAAAAACAAGGCTGGCAGGTCTGAGCCAGCCCCAGTCTGGAGAATTTCCCTAAAGATTTCTTTTCCATGTGGCATTTTCACATTCCCAAGAGTCCTTAGAAGTCTTGGGTTAAAGCAATCCTAATCCTTTCCCTGGGCTGGTGGGGTCTTGTTCAGAATGGGCTGTAGGAAAGGGAGCTTCATTCTGAGTTTTACCTGGTCTGATGAAAGACTTTGAGCTCTTGGAAGCAAAAGCAACGCCAGGCCTGTGGCTGTAGGTGGTGTAGCATTATTTATTGAGTGCTGCCCCCTAGAGGTCTGGAAAATGCTCTAGTTCCTTGGAGTCCCCAGACTCTGAACCTAAGGCTCTCCCCCCACCCAACTGCAGGAAATGAGGCCTCTGCTAAAAGGGACTGTTGAAAAGTCCTGCAGCAGCATCCCAGAGGCTCCCAGGAAGTAAATCAGCTCCCCCTTTAGGACACCTCTGAAAAGTGAAAATGTTAATGCTGGGAGCAGGGTCCAGGAAAAGAATATTGAAATAGCCTCTGACTTCTCCCTACTCACACTGAGGACTCTGGAGGAAACCAAAGCAGGAAGTCCAGAATTGTCATTCCTATGGCTTCCCAAGTGGCTTTGGTTTCCTTTCTCTCTCTCTCTCCTCTCTCCACAATGCTCTTCATCTAATCTGGCTATAGTGTTCTCAGAAACAGGATTCTCCCATGTCAGGCACTTGCTAGAATGGTTTGGCATGTCTGATGAGTGGTAGGGAGATGAAACTAAATGACCCTCTGCATTCAGGGACTGTCACTGCAGATAGTGTTATTTGTCCTTTGATTAGCAATGACATAAGCTGAGATCTTTGCTTAAGGTTCTAAACCCAAACTGCCTCTTCATCAAATATTTGGAGCTGGGAGTCATTCTTTACAATTGAAGTTTAAGAGGAAAAAATCTAAATCTGTGGTTTTAATAATATGGGTGTGCTTTGAAGCCTAGAAAGGAAGGAAAGAGGAAGGGAGAAAGAGAAAAGGAGAGTGAAGGGAATGAAAGGCAGCCTTGAGGTGGGGAGTGGAGATGCTCTCCTGGAGGAACTCAGTGTCTGACCTGCCATTTTGCATCCAGGCATCTAAGATTAACAGTGTGATACTCAGCCTGTGGGTTTCCACTGTAAAATCCCTCTATGGCTTGGCTCAACTAGTTGCAAATCACTTCTGATTCAATTTTGTTTTGGTTATCTCAGTGTAAATAACAGTTAAGTGGGAGTTACAGATTTTTCAAACACTAAAAGTGATAAACAAAGCTAATGGCAAGTCCAGATAAGGAAGGAAACCACCCAGAAGAATCCACAAGCACAAGGGAAGTAGAAAATGGTGTAGTCAGATGTGTGTGCTTCTTGTCACCCAGACTTGATTTTTCTTAATCTTCGGGCAGGCAGAAAAGGATATGGGCAGGGCTTTATTTTAGCTGTTGCTTTTGAGTGTGATGGTATAGTAATAGGTACCCAGTGAACAAGTCAGTTGGGAACCCCTGGAATCATTCTCAGAAACAAAGATCCAAGTATTTCCCCAACTGTTAGCTTGCAGCTCCATCTAAACAGTTTTAACGCCTCCACTGAAAAATAGTTGGCATAATGCTGTTTTCTTTTTCTCAACGTCATGACCACATTTCCATGAAGGAAATTTGAACAGAAGTCGTTACAGTAGCCTTTTGAGGAGAAATCTTGTGGGTGGTGGACCTGGGATGAGTTCAATTTAATTACCTGAAGAAATTCTTTATAGAAGAAAAGCCTTTCTTGTGATAGTTACAAGTTAAGAGCTCAGGCACAACTAAATACTCGCCCAGAGAGCACCGGAGGCTGTTTGGGACACAACAAAGGATCTGAGTAGTAAACGCAAGGAGTGTTTGGGGGTTTATTCATCCCGGGCTGACGGTGTGTGTCGCCGCCACGCACTGCTGCCTGTGCGAACACATGGCTAAGCTGGCGACTGGTTCCCTACCCCAAACACCGAACGCCACCCAACTCCTCTCATCACGCCCTTGCGCGTGGCATTGTGTTGGGTGCTGCGTGTGTGGCATCGGAGTCACGGAATTTAGGGGGAACGAGGAATTCCCCCGGTTCCGTGGAGTTTCCCTCCGGCAGGCGCGGTGCGGCCAAGGGCAGAGCGCCCTGGAGGTGCCCAGGGGTGCTCCTTCCCCGGGGCGTGACGCACCGAGGGCCAGGCGCAGAGGTGCGCTGGGCGGGCTGGGGGTGCGGAGTGGGAGAGGGGAGGGAGGGTGCGGGCTGTCTTAACTTTGATCGGGCGGCGGCCAGGGAGTGGGGGGGAGCCGCCTCCGCCTCCGCCCCGCTGGAGCTGGGTGCCGCGGCTCTCGGCTCTGCGCCGCGCGTCTCCGCGGCTGCCTCTTTAATCAGGAACACAGAAGGGGCGGGCCCTGAGCCGGCGCGTAATCGGATAGCTCTGCCGCGGCTCTGACATCCACATGCTGCTCGGCCTGAAAAGGCAGGGGGGAGCCGGAGGGGAGGCAGAGAAGGCGAGCGAGGCAGCAGCCCGCAGCCTGCCCCCAGCACATCCTCAGACGCTCAGACACTCGGCGAGGCGCTGGGCGAGGTGGAGGTGAGGGCGGGCGCGAGCGAACTCGGAGAGGGGCTCGCTCACTCCCAGGCGATCCCCGCCGCCGCCGCACCAGCAGCAGCACCAGCAGCGCCAGCAGCCGCAGCCGCAGCACCAGCAGCTTCCTTCCTCACACTCCCCTGGAGAGGCTGGCCAAGCGGGTGTAGCCGTTGGGGGAGGCTCCCGCTAGGGAAACCCGGCGAGGACAAGAGCGGGGCGGCCGCCTTCCACACGGTCTGTCCGGCCGTGGTGCCTCCGCCCGCGTGTCGGTCCGGGTGCCCGGGGATGTGTGTCAGTTTACGCCTCTGAGATCACACAGCTGCCTGGGGCCGTGTGATGCCCAAGGCAAGTCTTGGCTTTGATTTTTATTATTATTATTATTATTTTACGTTGGGCTTTCGGGAAATACTCGTGATGTTATAGGATAAAGGAAATGACACTTTGAGGAACTGAAGAGAACCTAGATGCGTTTTGTTTTTGAGAGGAAACCGGTCCCCTCTTCCCGGCTTGCTCCCTCACTGCCGATTCCAGAAGCTACCCTCCTCCTGGTGAGGTGGGGATTCCGACGAGAATAAAGGTGAAGACGGGCCGCCAAGACCCAGGAGAGAAACGCTGACCACTAGAAACCTTGGCAGAAGACACTGCCAGGAAGAAAATAAAAGAAAAAACACAAAGACTTATAATTAAACAAGAATCTTACCCACCCAGCCCTGGAGAAAGCCTCCTTCTCCAAAATGGATTTGTTTCCTCTCACCTGGGTTTTCTTAGCTCTCTACTTTTCAGGACACGAAGTGAGAGGCCAACCAGGTAAGCCCCTCAAAGTTTTTTGTTTTTTTTTTTCCTATTCATTTCAACATGGTTTCCACTTTAAACGCAATGGCTAATGCAGGAAGGCCATGCAGTACGGCTCAGGAAAAGACTCCCTCAATACTCAATATTAAAGAGAGATCCCAGCCAACCCTCACTACCCCACCAAGGCTGCTAAAACCCAACTTTTCTCTCCTGCTATGAGTGTATGTCTGTCTGTGTGTATGTGTGTGTGTGTGTGTGTGTGTGTGTGTGTGTTGTAACAGAATTTGGCGGTGTTCAGATGTCACATATGGACTGAATCAAAGGTTTAAAAATACTACAAAGCCTTTTCATTACAGTTTTTGGGGATTTTTTTTTCCTGTCTTGAAGCAGAACACATCTCCCTTGAGTTTCTTCAACCTAGCCAGTGAAATATAAATCATTTGCATTCCCTCCTCTTAGCTACATTGAGCAATGTTAACTGAAGGGCTTGGGAAAGACAAGTCTAGTTTGGATTTTCATATGCAGTGGATTCTTTGCAGAAGGAGTTAGATATGCTTCGAAATTCCAGGGCTCAGGCTAGTGGAACAAGTTGGATTATGGCTGAGATAGGGGCTTTCCAACTAGGCACTGCTGGCCACCAAGGTGGTTGGTGGCCTCTGCTCTCCTTCCTGCATCCGTGTTTTTTTCTGAGAAAGTAAGTTGTATGCATTCTTCTTTTAAATTATTAGATAAAACAACTGAATGGCCCTCAAAGGTCTCTCACTTTTGTGAAGTGGTTTGAAAGTTTTGAGTGGAATTTGAACTCAAGCCTTGCCAAAAAGGGTGTGTGGACATAGACTGCAGAGATAAGCACTGTGAGGCCCAGAATAGTCCTGGGCCAGCATTTCTCGGGAGTGCAAGGGGTACAGTCCCTGAGAAGACATCTCTGATTTCAGGGATCCAGCGAGGGTAGTCTTTCCTTCTTGGGGCCACTCTCCAGGGTGAGCTTCTCTCCTCTCTAAGAACAGTCTGGAATCTGACAACACAACTCTTAGCAGCTGCCACAGGTGATTGAGGATAAGGGAAAAGTGTATGGGGTTGGGGAGGAAAGGCGGGGGCACTTCTGGAAATGCCTCAATCACAAGGCACTTACTTCAAAGATATGGCCGCAGTGGTGGGGCTAACTCCCTGCTGCCTCCCGGGGCCTCTTAGCACACTGGCTAAGATCCTAAAGGAGAAGCTTTGCAACCAGTAAACTGGTTCTCACCTCTTCCCCTACACACACATACAGCCACTTTAAGCTGTGGTGTTTGGGTTCTGGTTTCGGTTTTTGAAGGAGAGAAAGACAGAGGTACGCCTTTGCCACACAAATCCAACCGTTTGCAGCTCTTTCTCTGCTGTAACGGGTCTACAGGCAGCTGCAAATCGTATCCAAGGAATGGGTACAGGTCCAACTTAGGGAGATTTTTCTGGCCTCCCATTGCTTTTTTGCCTTAATAAATTCCCATCTTTGAAGGAAAATTAAATTACCTCCCACAGACCTGGATGCTGTGTAAATTATGTATGTTTATGTGATTTGCTCTGTGTGTATGTGTCCGCGCGCGCGCGCGCACTGAGAAAACCCACCGTATATTATGTATTCAGGCGCCGACTCCTGTAGGCCCCGGCGCGCGAGTGCGCGCACACTGGCACACAACCACAAACAGGCACGCACACACACAACTTAAGGTTCCGAGTGCTGTGTGAAGCAGGAGGGGCTCTGAAGATTCAGAGGCCATCTTCTTACCCCAGATGTTCGCACATCTGTCCCTGAGTACTGCATGGAGTGTGTACGTGTATGTGCGACGCCCGCTCGGACCCACTCCCGCTCTGCCACCTGCCTCCCGCGCTCTCCGCAGAGCCCCCTCCCATCCCAACCCTGGCAGCGCTGCGTCACTTCCAGAGAAGCTCTGAAGCAGGGAGCGCGGAGCAGGTCACCCTCTAGGAGGCCTCGGACCCAGGATGGGACCCAGAGCTAAGACCTGCCCAGAGTAGATATTCTCCGGGTCCCCGAAAGGCGGACGCAAGCCGTGTGCTGTTCAGGTTTTCAGCCAGAGTAACCGACTGGCACCCGGGTAGCTGGCAGCGGGTGGCAAAGGGCGAGGTCAAGCTCGACCTCTGACTCACCGGTGTGAGCTAGCCAGGAGGAGGGCCTTCCCAGCCGCAGCCAGTGGCGGCGAAAACTGATTCCGAGAAGGAATCAGGGGAAAGAGGGCAGAAGATGTGCGCGCGGGAGCAACTAAGCAAATAACCCAGTGGTCTCCGCGTGCGGCCCCTTGAGCTGGGAGGACCCGGGGGCGCAGCGCACCAGGTTCTCCTCTCCTCGCCACGCCGCCCTGCCACATGGCAGCTGCCTGCTTCTGTCCCTCCCGCCGCGGCTAGGGCACTCGGGCAGCTTGGCTGACTCCGCTCCGAGCGCCCCCTCCTGCCCCCGCACTCCGTTCTGCGCCGCAAGCTCACCGCAGACCCTAGAGAGCCGGCCCAGAGGGGCAGGGACCCAAGGCCGAAGACCCAAGCGCCAGCCGAGCTGGGTGGCGGAAAGCTGGGGCGGAATTTCAGAGCAGAGGGCGGAGAGGGGAGGGAAGGAGTCACCCAGAGCCGCAGGAATGCGCGCAACTTGCACAGTGTCTAGAAGCGCTGCACGCAGAGCACCCGCCAGTGCGACGAAACAGGTGAAGAGCACGCGGCGCACAAGCATCCACGTGGTGGAGACGTGGTGGCCCCCAGCTCTCCCTCCCACCCTACCCCACCCCCAGCGCCGTCTCTAACGCCGCATCGATTTGTTTGGGCTACGCAGCAGAAACAGAGCTGAGCAATCCATAAACATTCTATTAGGCAAAAATATTCCCAGAGAAAGCAAAACCGGGGCTAAAGCCTCCGCGAAGCTGGCCGCCTCCAACCCCTTCAGGCTTGTCCCCTCCTTCTTCTGACTAGGACACCCCCTGGGAGAAGCCTGCGGCATTTCCTTGACTCTGCCCAATGCCAGAAAGTTACAGCGCGGCTGCGGCTCTCCTCCCGAGCAGCTTCTGCATTTGTCGGCGAGTCTCCCGCCCCTTCCCCGCTGCCTCACTCTTTGCTTTTCCACGTGAGAAAAATACAGTATTCACGGCCAATCCTTCATTTTCACTGATTGATTTCTTTTTAATATCAACACAAGTTAATGGAGGCGAGGCGCGCTGTGATTAAACGGCTGCTCCCACCCTTCGCCTCGGGCGGGCTGCGCCGCTAGTCTTTCCCACCAGATTCCCGGCGCCCGGCTGCTGGTTGAGGGGCACGGGTAGCGCTAATGTATGGAGATGGAGATGGGCGGGGTGGGGGGGACTCATCACCCCTCTGGGAATCTTCTGGGGCGGAGGCGCTGAGAATCAGCTTTCCAGACCAAGTTTAGAGGATCCCGCCCATCTGGGCTGCAGCTTCTGCGGCTCCGGTTGAATTTCTTCTGGAAGGGTAGTGGTTCAATGCTCTGGTTTATTGGCGCGTGTTCCCTGCTTAGCTCCCTCCCTCTGCCTCTCTTCCTTTCTATTTCTGACGGAGAGGAGAGCCCCCTGGCGCTAGCCATTACCCCGCAGCGCCTGACCACAGAACTCTCCTTTGCTAGAGTTAAGCGTGATGGGGCGAGGTAGGGGCATAGCTCAGGACATCATTGGGGTCCTGACTACGGGTTCTTGCGATGGTGGCAACTTCCAGTCCTAATGTTCCCACCTCCGGGACCTATGGCTTAGCTCAGGGCCAAAAGAAGTTGTACCCCCTAACCATCTCCCCCTTCCTTTCTTCCCGGAGAGCTTTGATCTGTGCTGGGCTTAACACCATTGTCACGGACACGGGCTGACTCGGTCAATTCAACCTTCCGCCTGGACTGGATGATCAGATAAGAGGTGTAAATTGGCTGTGGGAGACAGGTCTGAGTTCAAACAAATCCTAAAAGAGAAGCAATGATGGTCTAGGCGCCAGGTATTGGTTTGAGGTGTATTTCTTTCAGCCTCTGTCCCCAGAAATGTGGGATGGCCATTGGGTGAGCATAAAAATATGCAAGTAAAATTGCAAAGTAGATTCTACAGGGACAGCCTGCTCTGGGCTCTGGGGACTGGTCTCATGCCCACATTAAATAAGCGCCCAGTAAACTTTTCCCCAGAAGCAGGCACTGGAGGCAGCTGTTGCCAGTTGCCAAAGGAGCACAGAGTGCAAAACAGTGGAAGGGGGAAAGCTCCCGCGGGGCTCCAGGGCAAGCCCCTACTTGTCCAAGATGCGCCTGTAGAACTGTGAAGCACCTGGGTTTGAAGTTTTAGGTCATCCTGTGGAGCCTTCAGATATTAAGCCACAGAGCACTCAACTGGCAAACTGAAAGATTGGAAGGCTGTAGTGACTGGAGCCGCAGACTATCCAGACAGGACTCTTACTGCCTACTAAATGGCTCTGGTCCCCTGCTATTGAATATAAAGTCCATATTCTGCAACAGAAAAGCCAGTTCTGTCTTCTAGGTACAGAAAAGGTTAGGAATACAAATATCCCCAGGCACAAATGTGAATAACAGTAAGAGGAGACAGTCAGTGGGAAAAAGACACTGTAGACTAGATCATTCTGAGGACCCTGGTGTTTTTTATCTCATGCAACTCTTCCTTGAAGCAGTCAAGAAAATAAATAGACTTGAGGTGACTTAGTTTGAAACAGTTCTGAGTGGACAGGATTTAAAAGGCTGGTTCACTGGTATAGGGTTCTTAGAATATATTCTCTAAAGATCTAGTTTGGAAAGACTTTAGAAACTAAAGGTGAGTTTCTAAAAACAGAACAAAAGCATGTTATGTCAAATTTATAGGCCATTGTTTTGGATGGCCTCCTGTACTAAGCCTCAGAAGACCAAACCAAACCAGAGTGGAGTCACTCATGCTGGGTGCTGGCTACCATGTTATTAAACTGAACTCTTATCCAGATCAGTTAAAAAAAAAATTCAGGAAATAGAAGAGTCACAGCAATCAATGAAAGGGGACCCAGTTTACCTGAGTGGCTGACAGGGATCCCCCTCTGCTTTAAGCCCATAAAGAAAGTAACTTTGAACTGGCCAACCCATGTTTGTTGTGTTTCCTCAGCCCTTTTCTGTTTATAAAACCCACCTCTTCTGCTCAGCTCATGGGAACTTCATTCTAATTTTATAAAATGAGTTGCCCCATTTTCAAGAATCGTAAATAAAAGTCAATGAGATCTATAACTAAATTTGTTATAATTGCATAATTTGTAATTTCAAAGCATAGCACTTTGAAGTTTCTTAAAACGAGGAGAAAGGGCCTGACATCCAAGTAGTGCTTTGTATCATCATTAACATCTGACTATCGTTTGTCAAAAGAGGAACCCATGTTGAGTGACAGATGTATGTTTTGATCCCCATAAGTTAATCCTTATAGTGTTCTATCCAGGTGAGGACTTAGCTGTTTGTTTGATGATGAGGAGGAGGAGAAGGAGGAGAAGGAGAGGAGGCTCACCTCATTATTAAATGATTTCACAGAAGTTTCCCCCCCCCCATAGCTCCAACATCATTTTTTAAAGCTTTATCTGCCTTGATGAGAAGTGGCTGAGGGCTTAATGGTTTCATTACCTAACAGGATTCAGAAAGGTTGGATTCCAGGACACACTGGCCTTGTACTGTGGCCGGCCCTTCAGGAGAAATCTTCTTGTAAAGGTTTAGGAAGCTGTCAAGTTTAGATAAGACTGAGCTTCTATCCTATGGGACCTTGGTTGTATTAATAAGGAGAAATTAATTTTTAACCACTGGGAACGTTGCCAAATTATGTGACCTTTGGCAGACCAGCTGTGCTATAAAAATAAATCCCCCATTTCTGAAAATGCTGCTCCCATCCAGTAGAACAATAACAATGTGGCATTTAGGATAGGGAAGAGTGGGGATGAGAAGAGAAATGGGTGTTGACAAAAATCCCCTGATGTTATGATCCATAATTTCAGACCTGAGCATCCTATCCATCATTCCCCCACCTCCCAACTCCCCACAAGCCACAGGAAAGGGGGCAGGGATGACAAGGAGCTAGCACCTCTGTGTGCAGGGAGGGGGGAGGTGTTAAGTGCTTCCAGCCCTCTCACACCCCAGCCTCGAACACATCTCTCATTGTTCACACCAGCAGATTACTGGCATGGGCAGAGGAAGAGGGTTTTCAAGCTGGCAAAACGTTTGTCTTTCCTTAAATGCCACCAAATAAGTTTGTCATTGAGAAGTTTGGGGAAAATTGTCAGTTGTCACTGCGCTTCCCCGCTTCTGAATCACTGGAGCCAGGCCACCTAGGTTTAAGATTCATCTCAGCCACTTGGCAGCTCTGTGATCCAAGTACTATGTGTGATCCGGATACTTAATCACTCAGTGGTGCCTCAGTTTCCTTACCTGTAAAATGTGTTTGATAATGGTAACTACCCCAGAAGGTGGCTGTGCTCTGTCAAACTACGTGGAATCCTGTTTTGACACATAGTGAGCCAATTCTGAAGTCATTTAATCACCCAAACAGCTTCAGTGGGGTTAGCTATCTTGTGACCATAGAAAGTACACTTTAACCATTGTGGTAAGTTTATTTTATTTTTATGAGATTTAGGGGGGGATAAGTAAATAATTATTCATTCTTAGCTCTTTCCCCACTAAACCTTTGTCTGTGTTTTATAAGTACCAGATTATCTCTCAGCACACTGTTCTTCAGAGACCCATATTCTCTGCTGAGTTTTCATCTTAGATTTATGCCTCCTTTTTCTTTTTGCATTTTCTCTTCCTTATTCTGTTTTCTGTGTTCTCACCTCTACCTTTTCTTCTTCTTCTTCTTCTCTTTTAGTTTTTAATCTCCTTTCTTCTTTCTGTTCCTTTTCCTCCCTTCCCATCCTTCATCACTGAAAGTGGGCTCAGCAGGGAACACAGTGTTTAAGGGGCTCTCTCGAATTGGTAATAACTTCTGCTCTGGCTTTAAGGCCCCTCTCAGCAGCTGAACTCAAAAAAAAGTCGTCAGAAAGACAAAATAGCTTTTACCCAGCAAGACTCTTAATAATCCCATTTCCCTCTGGGTCTTCATAAAAGAGTCATGATCTAATCCAGAAAAACGGGAGGGGGGCTGGGAATAACAAAAGGAAAGCCCTTCCCAGTAGCTTGCCCTGGATGCGCTGCAGGCCAGCTGGATGCACATGTCCCTGGTACCCTGAGCCCTGCCTCCAAAGATGCTTTGATAACAGGCACCAGGTTCTGGAGAGTCTTTCAGGGAAGAAGATAAAGGGAATTGCAAATTACTGGACCGAATGATAATAATAATTGTTTGGATAAAGGGAAAAAAATAAAACAGATGTGCCCCAAAGGCATATTAGGGGCCAGAGACAGGGGCATGGGGAGGGATGAGTAGAGAGAAATGAACTGAATCCAAGTAGGAGAAAATCCAACACCACAAGTGCTTTAGTGATAAAGTAATAGCTTGTGTTTTCCTGGTGCTACTGGCAACAAATATTTAGAACTTGCCTTTGGAAGTGAGGAGGCAAAAAAACAAAAACCTCAGAATAAATTAGTTTGACTACTATTAGAATTAAAGTGTGTGTATTTGTCAAACTTGATAATTATCTAAGGTTAGGGTGTCCTAGGAGACAGTTCATATTTAAGTCCACCTTGATCTAGACCTAGGTATTATTATCCCAGACTAGCTGGTTAAACTCTCAGTTCCCAACTAAAACTTTGCATTTATTAGCAGCTGTTGGTGGAGAAGGGAAGATAGTAACTGGAGAAGCAGAATAATCTGTGATGAAGCTCTCAAAATTTGTGAGATGTAGTGATACTATTGGTATTATTTTAGTTCATCCTTAAATTATTAATTTATGCAGGCTCAATGAATCTGACTTTTGGGAAAGACCCTCTGTTTGATTCCATAATGTTTGCCAAAGACAGATCAGAAAGGAGTTTCGCTGTCCAGTTGCTAGTGGCACAGCAGAGTGGATAAGGTCATCCTGAATTCCCACAATCCTTAGAGGATGCTGAAGAGCTTCTGCCTGTGAGAGACAGAGAGGAGAAAGATTACCCCTGGTGTGGAGGTGAGGAAGGCAGAGGATGGGTGCTTTAGAGCCCCAAAAGACATAAAGGGGAAGGGGAAAGGATCGGAGAGGGCAGAGACATGAACACTGGGCTTGTTGAGGAACATTCAGAAGCAGCAGTTTAGAACGTGTGGTTGGAAATAATTGAAAATAAAGTTAGAAATAATAGCTTGGGCTTAATGCAAGGCCCAAATTGCAAGGCCAAGAGGTTTGGGTTTCATGTGCTAACCAATGGGGAGCCATTGGCGTTTCAACGTAAGCTTTCATTAATCATAATAAATGAAAAAATAGGTATTCTGTTACCATTTTTCTCTTTGGGTTTTTGGAGAGTCCTCAAAATTATTCTGTTTCCTTCCCCAAATGTCTGTTAAAGTGGCCAGAAATCGTAATCCCAGATCTCTCATCAATGACACCAAAATTGCATTTGCAATGAGGACTGGAAAAGAGTAGACATAAATATAAACTAATGATATTATATCGGCTGCCCTATTGGAATTGCATTTGTTTATGATATAAGATGACAAATAACAAGGTTACCACAGGTGGCAGGATTCGAGGTCAGGGGAGGTAATCACATCAAACATACATTTTGCCGATTAAATAGGGTTCATTTTTAGAATCCAGATTGAGGGGAAGAGATGTTCAAAGGCCCTATTTCCAGACCCAATTTCCAGCTGTCTCCTCAGTGAGGTTCCTTTGTCTGTAGGAGGTGTTGGGGAAGAGAGAGCTTGCTTCATTCCTTACTCTTTCCATGCACAGACAGCGATGTCGTAGTCCTCTCTTCCCTTCCCAGAAGGTGCTTTTGTTCAAATTTGGAACCTCACCCTTGCAGAAGTTCATAAGGATTCCCATTTGCTGTGCCTTCACCGGCCTCATAAATTGAATAGATTGCATCCCTTCCTAGCTGCCTTAGGATGTGGTCAAACCGGCACATTCCTGGGCTGATGGATTGGCTCATTTCTTCCCAGCTTAAGCCAAGATGCGGATTTTATGAGACTGTCTTGTGACAGGCTGAAGTCGCTTTGCATAAAACAAAATCCAGCCCCAGCTCACAGAAATAACTCTTCCAAAGCAGCTTAACCTGGGTTGGTGAGCAAAATTTGGTCAAAGCCCTGAGCAAAAGACTTTGATGATCTAGGTGAGGGACTTGAAGACAGTCCTTTTGGTCTTTCTTTTCAGGCAGGCCGAATGTTGATGTGCTCACACACTGAACCGTGTATCCATAATATTTATAAATATGCAACCTCAAACTCAGTTAAGAAAAGAAACTCACTCATGTCAGTAGAGCTAATGTGATTAGAAGAGACATTTGAACTTTCCATAATGCAAGACAGACATGTCCATCCCAAGATCTAAGTTTTACTTCAAACTCACCAAGCCAATAAAACAGAGATAACACTTTGAATCAATGCCTTATTGTCTAGAAGTAAGAGAACCTTTTGAATTTTTGGTTCAATCCATGGGTTAGAGACTCTTTTTCCATACCTCATTATAGGCTTTGAATTTCAGAACTGGAACTGGCCTTTTGGATTACTCCCTCCACTTTAGAGATGAGTAAACAAAGGTGCAGAGTGGTTTACTGATTTCCTCAAAGTCACACAGCCTGCCAGTAATGAGATTAAATGTGATTCTGAGGCTTCTTAATCCTTACCCAATCCTATTTCTGGTCAACTGCTTTGGAGGAATGAGTGAAGTGGCATGGTGATAACATTTTCTCTTTCTAAGTAAGCAGAAGAGTTTCTGCTTTGCCTTGCTACTAATAATTAAATGAAAATGATGCTGTGGAAATATGGACGGCGTGAGATGATACTGTGGGTAAAGAAGAAATTGTAAAGTCAATAAAGTGCACTATTTCCAAGGGAATGAGACCGACTACTTTTCTCCACCAAATGCCCTCAGGTGTGAGAAACACATTCCAAGACCTCCGTGGATGCCTGAAGCCTTGGATTGCCCTGCACATGTTTTTTTTTTTTTTCTTACACATGCATTCCTATGATAAAGTTTAATTTATAAATTTATAAGATATAACTTATAAATTAAGCACTAATTACAGAACAGATTAATTATAATAACATACTATAATATAAGTCATGTGGCTGTGGGCTTCCTCAAAATACCTAACCCTTCTTGTGCAGCTGTGAGGTGGTATACTGCCACATGACGGACTGAGGCCAATGACCTAGCATGAGGCTACTGATTGACCTCCCCGTGACCTCAGAAATGGCCATGAGGCCATGACAAAGCCATGTCGATGCTGGCTGACCACAGGTAACAAACTACTACACGTGAGACATACGAGAAGCCAACCTCCCTGATCATTCCCTCTGTCCCCTCCCCATAGTGTTTAGAATGACAAGCGAACAGAGCTCTAGCTCACTAGGCCTCAACCCGTGTTCCTGGAGTCCCCAGTGCACTTGCAGAGAAGTGCCTAGGAGATGAGGGGGACCCTGCGAGGCCCAGACTCTACACAGCTCCCTGCCTCCCAGCCGCCAAGGAGAACTCTACTTCCATCTGCTTTGTACCTTGGGTAGTTTTGATCACAGAGGGAAAAGCACCACTTCTAAAAGTATTTGACAGCTGCCTACTATTGAATTACAGGTGACACAGCTGAGACCCTGGAAGGTCCCACTGAGTTATGAATCAAGTGCTCTGTCCTCTCTTTGCTAGCTGTCAAGCCCTCCCTTCCCTAGTCACCCATCAGCCCCCACCCCCACACACAACCTGGAAACAACCTGTCCCTCTAATTCCACTTCCAGCCAGTGACCAAGTTTCCCTGGGTTTGTCTTCACTTAAACTAAACCAAGGGATCTGTTCTTGACCTGCTCTCACACAGGGAAGCCATCGTAATTCTGATTATTTAAAAGTCTTCTCTATTACATAATGTATAGATTACAAAATGCCATGTAATACAGGATAAATGTACACAGTTTTATGCCAGTGTTTTTTAATATATATTTTTTTAGTTGTAGATGGGCGCAATATCTTTATTTATTATTTTTTATGTGGTGCTGAGAATCGAACTCGGTGCCTTAGCTACAGCCCCAGCCCCTATGCCAGTGAGGTTTTTTTTTTTTAAATAAAAAGGTTTAAAAGAAAAAATAATAAAGCCCTCATTAAAGTCCTGCTAGGCTTTATCATACATTATGGTCAAGTTCAGGCCATACAGTGTTCCCTAAAACAACTCCAGCTAAATTTTCCTAGAAGGCAGACCAGATATTTTAACAGCTCTTTTTTCACTTCTTTTAAAGACTAAAAATTAAATATTATCAAGGAATCGGAGATCTTAAAGGAGCTCTCTAGGAAGGTGAGTTCCAAAGTGAACAGGTAAAAAAAAAATTCCTTTTCCTTTTCTGGGGCCATGTTACCCCTCAGCAGGATCACATTATGCTCAGGCTCCCCGCAAAGCAAGGACAGAAGAGGGGGGAAAAGACAGAGAGACTTTAAAAAAAAATTGTTTTTTTAATTGTAGGTGGACATAATAACCTTTATTTTATTTTTATGTAGTAACGAAGATCGAACCTAGTGCCTCACACGTGCTGGGCAAGAGCTCTACCACTGAGCCACAACCCCCAGAGAGAGACTTAAACCATCAGCAAAGATTTTTAAACCATCTAATATTTTTAAACACGTAAGTGGTCACTATGGGGATGTAGGGAATCAGGGCTTTGTGACTTTGGAACTTGGTGTTCCTTTTCCTTAAAGTTACATAGAGTCGTCATTTCAACCTTTCACCCTTGGGCCTCTGGCCTGACCTGCTCATGTCCCCTCCCAGATGGGAGAGAAAACTGCTCTGGACATTCTAGGCCTGGTTTTGCTACTTTTCTTTGGGAAACGAAGTTGCCCCCAGGTGAAAGGTATTCACAAACTAGTTGGAGAATGAGGTCCCTTGTCAACTCACCAAACAGGCTCAGTCGCTCCAACTTCAGCAGGGGCAATTTTCCCCTTTGTATGTGGAGATTGGCCTTAAGGGGTTTGCCCTTAAGTTCAACTCTCCCTTGGCTCTCTCTCTCTACTCCTCTGAAACAGGACAGAAAGCATTTATGAAGTTCATTTTAGAACACAATAAAGGCCTACAAAATAATGGATGGCATATCTCTTCCCCAGAAATTCTAGCTAGTTTCTACTGGGACATGTTTGTATTTAAGAAATGAAGGGCCTCTGACCCTGAAAATGCAAGATCAGTTATCAAGAGAAGATGTCGAAGGACTAAGTGTATTTTCTTCACTGTTTTTACTGATCTTTTACAAGAATTCTATTCTCTCCAAGAAAAATAGAGAAAGAAATCCTAGTATTTATCTCTGTGGATATATATCCGTGCAAATGATGTGTGATATGTTCTGAGAGGGTGTGAACGTGTGTACAGGACTGAAGTGTGAATTACTGATATGTGTATGTAACTGATGTTTGTTCAATATCTATGTTTGTGTGTGTTTCTGAGTGTGAATGCAATCCAAACAAGAATAGGAGTTTATAAATGTTTGACTATTGAGAAAGTTGTCTGTACACACTCAAAACAGATGTTTTAATAAGTTCTCAGATATTTCAGTAAGAGCTTTGATTTTCCTCAGATAAAGAAAGGACAGGAAAAAAGAAAAGGGCTACTCCTTTTTCCTTTGGTTAAGTAATTTTTGGAACAACAGAAAGAGCAGACTGTCAACTGTGGAATACACTATATAGTTCAAAAAAAATTTTTTTTTGGTAGTGGGGAAATGATTGCTTCCGGTGTAGATGAGAAATGAAACCGTCCTGTGAGGAAGTCTCCTGTCTCCATTGCTGATCTGTGTGCCTGATCTCATTACTAAGTTTTAAGCCTGGGGTTCAGGGACTTGAGGGGGAGCAATTCTTCCTTCAAGGGTAATTGGAGAGAAGCAAGGAAAGGGTGGAGACAGGGAGACTGTGGGTGATGTGGAGACCATAACGGTTACTAAACAGGAGCCCAGCTCAGGTTTCCTGTGATGAGTTCCAAGGCAAAAAGTGTGGTTTGGGTGAGTCAGGGCAGAGCTCCAGTTTTCAGCAAAATAGCTGGCAGAGGAGCTGGACCTGGTAGAGAACTCCTCCTTCTGCTTGGTAAAAGCAGCTGGTGATCCAAGTGCCCACACCTCTGCCTTCTCAGAGGGCCACTCCCAGCCTTATTTCACATACCAGAGCCAGGGATGATGGGCCACCCTGTGACCAACTGCAAGATTTTGGGTGCCCAGTGTGGCAAATCCTGTGGGCACCCAGGAAGCTGCAGGATTTGGCTGCAGAGAAAGGGTGGCTGCATCTGGATGGTAGTCCCATTGTCCTCCTGGACTGGGGAGGGTGCAGGGTCATTAGGTAGAGGATGATGTGGTGTCTGCTAGCCCGAGGAAATGGCTTGCTTTTGTTTTTCCGCCCAGTAGGAAATGGACCCAAATCCATTAGATTCTGGGCAGTTCAACAGGGCACAGTTTGAGCTCTTGGAGGCTCAATACCAAAAAGGCTACTTGTATGGATTTGTGTCCCAACCACCATTGTGCACAATGCCCATCATTTATGCATTTAAAGCCTGTCAGGCTGGTAATCTGAAGCAGAGGTCTGGAAGACAGTAATGCCAACAGACATGGGGAATGGTAAAGTGCACCTGTAGAGTTAAAAATGCATGACCCGTTCCCTCAAAGAGTGAACACAGGAGAAAGACCTCGTCCTGGAGGGCGGCTGCTGAGCTGTCATACATAATTCACAGGCCCATGCTGCTCCATGCAGATGGCGATATTAAATCGTGATTGATGCTAAGAGACGCGCACATCTCAGGAAGGTCTCTAGGAGGCTTCTGAATATTTCTGTGTCTCTCGTGCCTCTCTGACCTAACTGTGGTATTGAGCAAAACCTCCCATTCCCCAAGAACCCTTGCTAGGGATTGCCAAACTTCGCTCCTAAATAGATAAAATTCTTCAAATGTCATCGCCTACCTCTTCTGCCTTTGAAGGTCGGCCCTTTCCCTCCTGGCCCACAAGAGGCTGTTTACCTCCTGCCTGGCACTTCAGGAAAGGGGGGCCAGCTCCCCCCTGCCGTGCCTTTCCATGGCTGCTGTCGCTGGAGAAAGCAGCAGCACACTCTGGTGGTGGTGACCAGCCAGGAGGGACAGTGGGCAGAAACGCACAGAAAAAGACACAGGCATCCATTCAGCACAAAGCACCTTTGTGGAAACCCCGTTGGAGCCAGTGGGTTCTCCAATACAGATTTTTCCATTCTGTGTCTAATGAAATAATAAATCAAATTTGTGGTGTATGCAGAATTAAATGTTTGGAGGGTTGCTTTTTCTTTCTTAAAGGAAAAAAAAAAAAAGGTGAAATCACCCTCGAGGGCCTCTTCTGCTCCAAAACTGAAAGTGTTTCCTTGCACCACATGTAATTGTCACCAGGTGCTCTTTGGGTCAGCACCACAAAACCACCATGGTCAGTTCCCGGAGCCTTGACTGCTGACTGCTCAGGCCCAGCTGGGCTGGGAGACACCAATAAAAATGAAGAATTTATGAGATAAAGATAGAGATGGGGAGTTTGAATGAGGAGAGGAAGATGGGCCAAGAAGGGAGACAGGAACAGGCTCACTGTACAGCCTTCTTGTTTTCATAATCTCAGACCATGTAATTGGGAATATTTATGACCATTTTCTGTAACGTGTGTGTGTGTGTGTGTGTGTGTGTGTGTGTGTGTGTGTGTGTGTGTGTGGTCGGATGGGTCAGGGGACGGATGAGCTGAAATGATCTCTTCCACTGAATGAGTAAGTAGGTTAGTCTCCTGGACTGCCATAAAAGGTCTGTAAAATAGTTTTAATCAGCCACTGGGAGAGAAGGGAAGAGGGAGTGGGGGGCAGGGCGAAGGCTGGAGCATATTTGAAGTTCTTTGGGTCCTTGTTCTCTCTTCCAGACCCACCCTGTGGAGGTCGTCTGAATTCCAAAGATGCTGGCTACATCACCTCGCCTGGATACCCCCAGGATTATCCCTCCCACCAGAACTGCGAGTGGATTGTTTACGCCCCGGAGCCCAACCAGAAGATTGTCCTCAACTTCAACCCTCATTTTGAAATCGAGAAGCATGATTGCAAGTAAGCAGTGCCCCATGCGCTGGGGGGGGGGGAGGGGCTCACACTGCCTGCCTGCCCCGCCCCCACATGCCTGTCCCCTGTATCACCTAATGGTGGCAGTGGATCCTAGTCCCAGAGGGAAACCTTCAGATGACATTCCTTTGGGGGCGAAATTAAGGTGGAGTTGATCCCGTGTTCTAAAAGATAGAGCCTTATGGAGTGAAGTCCAAATACTAGTGCCCATCTCTAAAAGCTGGCAGGGGAGAGAGTATCCATGTGGGACAGGGGGGACCATTAGACCCCACTCTCTACTCTTGGATCTACCTTCCCCCTGGACACCTCTGTGTTTCCTCTGTGTTTCCCCACCAGCTTCCATAATAAAATAGCTGCCAGATCCCCTAGCGGAGACTTCCTCAGCCTCAGCTGTGAAGGCTCAGCCTGATATTTTATAAAGTGGCCATTGGTTGCCTAAAGAGAGGAAAGCATTTGGGGGTCTATAAGAGTAGATCTAAGACTCTTGATTCTTGCTATCTAAGCTGCACAGGTTAGAGTCTCAAGGCTGGTGTTACAGATTTATTTAACCCGCGCTTTTCTAATTATGTGACAAATACGAATCCTTTCAGTTCTCATAAAGACCCCAGGGAGGGCTGGAGTTGTGGCTCAATGGTAGAGCGCTGGCCTAATGTGCACGAGACACTGGGTTCGATCCTCAGCAGCACATAAATGTAAAATAAAGATATTGTATCCACCTAAAAAAATAAAATAAAATAAAAAATAAATATTTAAAAGAAAAATGACCCCAGGGAGTGGGTGCCATCTCCATCTCCATTTTTGCAGATGAGAATACTGAAGCACAGAGAGGTTAAGTCTGTCCTGAGGCAATTCAGCCAGTTTACAACATGACATCAGTCCTGTCTCCTTGGAAATGTGTGACTTAGGAGATTTCCAAGTGGCAATTTAGACATTTCAAAATGTCATGTTAACTCCAAGGTCCAAAGTTAAAGTAGGGAAGCAGGTGGGTGTTGTAATGTCAATAATGCAGCTGTGTGTAGTCTGATGAGCTCTCTCTTAAATACTTTCCTCTTGTTGAAACGAAAGCAAAAGTTTGCTGTGCAGAAAAGAATGTGCCAATGTTCCTATGCTGCTCCAGATGAGCACCACCACAGAGAGCCATCAGAGCCGTGCTAAGTGTTCAGCGCTCCCATATGATTTAGAAGTAGTCTGGGCGTTCTTTGTGAGCCAGGCATTGTGAGCCCTGAAAAATTAATCAAGGGGACAGCTGGTGGGACAGGTATAAGGGAGAGAGCACAAGAACTTCATTTTAAAGCAGGCCTACACCCAGATCAGTGTTTCCCTACAGAAGAAACAAGGCCCCTCTTTAACTGGCACAGGACTGCAAGGCTCTGTGAATCGATGTCATTATTATCCTCCCAGGGCTACTTTGCACCTACGGAATGGTTCTCTCCTAACAAGAGGTAGTCTTTGTTGAAAGCCAAAGGGTTTCCCGGATGGATGCCACATGTGACTGAAAGTCATAAGATGGAGTTTCTAATCCCAGGGCCACTCTTGACTGCATGGATGACATCTGGTAACACATCAGTTCCTCTTTGTCTCAGTTACATGCATTCCCCGGGTTCAGCATCTCGAGGCTTCCACTTTCCTGACAGACAGTGAACTTTACCGAGAGTTTCAGGTAGGAGTGCTGTAAAAGCCATTTTGGGTCCTAGTGCCTCAGCTGGCCTGCAAAGGGTTGTCACCAGCTGAAATATAAAGCAGAGAGCTTGGATCTGAGCTCAGAGGAATGTGACTAAGCACCTCTCTCCACTGAGGGCCAAATTTTGTTCTGCTGATGCCAGCAAATCTCGAGGGGAAATTGCTAAGAGGTCATTTTATGTATATTCGTAGTGGCAGAGGGAGAAGGCACAGTTTTTTTTTTAGAAGGAAAACCCCCAAAGCTTATGAAATGACACCAAACATGTTGAGAGGTGCAAAGGGGCCAGAAAAACTCTTTTCTGCCCTGTTCTGAGCTGTGGGATACCCCTCCCTGTCACAGAACTCAGCCCAGGGGTGGGGAGAAAACAGGGTTGCTGAAGCCTTTTTGCAGAAGGGAGAGGGACATTGGCCCTTGCAAAGTGGGACTAGAGGAAGCAGGTGTGCTGAAGGGTGTCTCTTGGCGTCTCAACCTCGCTAAGTGGCTTCCTGTTTTCCTCCTCATTCCACATCCCAAGCTGTGGCTTCAACCTAAAAGGTCAGGAAGGTCAGCAAAAAAATCTTTCTGGAGTCTGTTTTCCCCAGTGCCAAATTGTCAGAAAGCCTCATCTACCTAGCATAGTCCTTAATTTTCCCCCTACTGCACTCCGCTTTCTCCTTCATTCCCCCTCCCCACCCTCTCATTAATTTTTATATTTAGAAAAGACAAACCTGGATCTCTTAGCCTCTCACCCTTCAAGGTATTTTTGACATGTTCCCCTGGCCATTTGCATTCAGAATAAATGGACTCCCCTCCCCACCCTCCCCAAGGCCTTCTCTTACTGTCTTGTGAAAAGAACAGTTGATCTAATTGAAGTCTTGGAAATTCTGTGTGGTTCCTGCTCTCTTTCCTTCTCCTTCTCATGTCCATATCTCATTTTTGCTCCAAGGGAGCTCCTGAGTTTGCAAAATTCTTTCTATCAAAGGAAATTAGGTCCCTTCTCCTTTCATTTTGGAGCGCCTTTCAAATTGGGTTAGGCTCTCAAAGCCCTCAAGGCAGGTACTTCCCAAAAGGAAACTGTCTGGACTGCCTGTAGCAGCCACGCCCTAGCAAAAAAGGGGAAATGGTAAGAAAGTCAGAAAAAAAAAAAAAAAGGCAGCCAGATAGGAGGAAATGGCAGGGGCCGCATGCTCCCCCGCGTTTCTCTTCCTTCTACATACACGATTAGCTGCCAAGATTGCTCCCTGACCTGGGAATAGGACCTGATATAAAGGGATGTCCTGGCTGAGGCCCACAAGCCCTGGACCTTGGATTTGGAAATGCATCCTAAAGGTTGAGGCTGTGGCTGAGTGAACTCCAGGCAAACCTGCCCGCTAACTGCCACTTTTAATTTTGTTCCACTGAAGGCTGCTGTCTGCTTGGAAAATTTCACTCACAAGCCTTAACTTTGCCTGAGTCAGTGCAGTCCAAGGCCACCATCTCTGCAGAGCTTCCCTGACTCCTCCTCCCTCTGGCCACCCGTGGGGATCCAAGCCCAGAGCACCCACAGGCTGTCCTGGGGCCTGTGCAGCAGCTGTGGGCAGAAACCAAAGGCCACCTTGGCCAGGTTCCTGAGCTGAGGGACAAAAGGGCAGGACTCAGGGCTGCCTGGGCAAACAGAGAGAGGCTACCTCACCCCTGGGGAGCAGAGGATGGTAGGAGGCTGCTGCTTCCACAGACAGAGGCCTTTCGCTTGAGTCATCGCCTACAAGCCAAGAGTTGGGGTTTTAGAAACGCACACGGAGCTGTTTTTTTTTTTTTTTCCATTTCTAAAATTTGAAATATATGTATTTCTAAAAACACTCATGAGCATATCATACATAGCTTATTCCAGAGCCCTCAAACTGGCCTGGCAGTTCCCCACCCCATCCCAGAGGCCCAACCAAATAAAACCAAAATCAAGAGAATGGGTCCTTTTAGGAATTAGCCATTTTCCTATGAATATCTTGAAAAACATTTTTAGGAAGTGCAAAGGCCACTAGGAAGACTTGAAAGAACATTTCTTAAGCTAAAGACCTCACAAGGAAGTCTACACTAATGAGTCATGAATATGATGTTCAGTGCAGAAATCATCTCCTTTACCACTTATCACTGATGGTGAAGTTTCCAAATACTAAAAAGTCCCCCATTATAAGCTCTTCTTAGTTATTGATTTTTATTTTTTAGCATATTATAGATATACATTATAGTGGGGTTCATTTTGATATATTCAGAAATGCATTTAACCTAGGTTTCTCCATTTTAAAAGTTCCTTTAAAAAGTGTTTCTCATAAAGAACATTTTAAGTCACGTGCCACACGTTCCATGTCTTCTTAAACAAAACCCAAACTTACGGGGACTCCATTTTTTTCTCTTGATGATTCAGGTTTATAATTCTAAACTTCACTTTTTGTGACAGAAGCTGGGTCGTGTTATATTTGGAACAGATTTACAATTGTATTTTCATTGATCTTTTAAACTTCCCAGGCCTCAGTTTAACATTCTGCAAAAGAGTGATAACAACAACTGATTTGCAGCAGTTTATATAGATGCACCATAATTTATCAAGTGTCTTGGCATCTTTGTGCTTTGTCATGAGGAAGTTCTGGACTATTTTCTGACAGTATTCTCGTCCCTCCTGTTATGGGTAGGCCTGTCTCCTACATCTCCCTGTTTGGGCAAGATTTTACTTTTTTATGTATGTGGATTTTGCTTCAGGTCTTGCTGACTCTTGGGAATCAGGAGCCTGTGTGGTCCAAGCTCTTCCCTAAGACAGGGCAATCCCAAGGCCAGTGTTCCTAGTTTGCTTCAGTCGGTCAAGCTCAAGTTGAGTAAGGACTGAGGAGGGACCCCGAGTGACCAAGTGTGAAAGTGACAGTAAATGGAATTCTCAGCATTGGCTTCGATGTTCATAATCTTTTCTTCTGATCTCCCCATACCTCACTTTCTGCATATTTAAAGTTTCAGACATTTGCCTCTGGCTGAGCATCCTAGATAAACAACTCTTGTGTTTATTTACAACAGAAGGGCCCTCTGTGTAAAAGATGTGCCTATTTCTCACAAAGTAGGCGACTCTATCTTAAAAACGGTAGCAGCTTCCCAGGTTGATAAATTGACCACAGTAAACAGAGGGAAGACACTGGACCTCAATAACCCGGCCCCTCCCCACTCAGCCATCAGTGTTTCCCCGAGAGCACAGTAAACACCCTCCATTCCAAACAACCACATGCAATCTTCC